GAATATTATAATGTTCTAATTGAATTATAAAATTAAAATATATAATAAGAATATTATAATGTTCTAATTGAATTATAAAATTAAAATATAGAATAATATTATAATGTTCTCATTTAATTACAGAATTATAATAAAGAATAACAATATTCACGTATATTATAATTTAATTGTAGAATTAAAATGTAGAATAACAATATTCACTTATAATATTCTAATTGAAATAAAACTAAAATATAGAATAAGAATATTATCTTACTCTATTGAACCATTTGGTGCAGTACAATAGGATAATAAGATGTAACCTCAACTTTGTACTTTTATACAATAGTATATACAGAAAATCCTCAACCTACGACCACAATTGAGCCCCAAATTTCTGTTGCTAAGCAAGACAGTTAAGTAAATTTTGCCCTGTTTTATGTCCTTTCTTGCTACAGTTGTTAAGTGAATCCCTGCAGTTGTTAAATGAGTCACATAGTTGTTAAGTGAATCTGGCTTCCCCATTGATTTTGCTTGTCAGAAGGTCGTAAAAGGTGACCCCCGAGACCGTCATAAATATGAGTCCGTTACCAAGCGGTTGAATTTTACGTGGCCATGTGGGGGATTTACATGGGGCGGGTGCTGCCACAGTCATAAGTGTGGAAAAAACGGACATAACTCCCTTTTTTCAGGCCCGTTACAACTTTGATCAGTCACTAAACCAACCGTTGTAAATTGAGGATTATCTGATATACCATACAGATCATGTTCGAGAACTCGATCGTGATCGGGAAGAAGCAAAAACACGAAAAGAATCTCTTGAGCGCAGCCCATTTTCGATCACTGGACTTCTGCCTCTTGATCGGGAGGTGGCCAGAAACGGGTTTTTATGGGCCACATTTTGTGGCCCGAAAAAGTTTCAAGAAAGTTAGCAAGGTTCCCGCTTCTCTTTGTTTCAAAGTTTTTGCGTGTCCAGTGATAACATGTCTTGAACAGACCGTGAGAAATTTTGTTTTTCCTTGTTTCTCTACCCGCTTCCTCCTCTGCAACTCAGGATCTGACCTTCTGCGTCTCCTCTCCATAACGGAGGAGTAGGCCCTGTGTAGCCCCACTAGACCGACTCAAAGAACTCAGAGTTTCCCCATTCCCAGTTTCCCTCCTAAATGCAGGCAGTCCTGGGGGATTCTGGGAGTGGAAGTCTTCCCTTCTTAAAGCATCCTGGATGGGGGATTCTGGGAGTGGAAGGCCTCTCCTCTTAAATCATAGCTGGCTGGGGGATTCTGGGAGTGGAAGTCCTCCCCTCTTAAAGCATAGCTGGCTGGGGGATTCTGGGAGTGGAAGTCCTCCCCTCTGAAAGCATCCTGGATGGGTGATTCTTGGGAGTGGAAGTCCTCCCCTCTTAAAGCATAGCTGGCTGGGGGATTTTGGGAGTGGAAGCCCTCCCCTCTTAAAGCAAAGCTGACTGGGGGATTCTGGGAGTGGAAGTCCTCCCCTCTTATAGCATTCTGGCTGGGGGATTCTGGGAGTGGAAGTCCTCCCCTCTTAAAGCATGCTGGCTGGGGGATTCTGGGAGTGGAAGTCCTCCCCTCTTAAAGCATAGCTGGCTGGGGGATTTTGGGAGTGGAAGCCCTCCCCTCTTAAAGCAAAGCTGACTGGGGGATTCTGGGTTTGGAAGTCCTCCCCTCTTAAAGCATAGCTGGATGGGGAATTCTGGGAGTGGAAGTCCTCCCCTCTTAAAGCATGTTGGCTGGGGGATTCTGGGAGTGGAAGTCCTCCCCTCTTAAAGCATCCTGGCTGGGGGATTCTGGGAGTGGAAGTTCTCCCCTCTTAAAGCATGATGGATGGGGGATTCTGGGGAGTGGAAGTCCTCCCCTCTTAAAGCATTCTGGCTGGGGGATTCTGGGAGTGGAAGCCCTCCCCTTTTAAAGTATGAAGGCTGGGGGATTCTGGGAGTAGAAGTCCTCCCCTCTTAAAGCCTTCTGACTGGGGGATTCTGGGAATAGAAGTCCTCCCCTCTTAAATCATAGCTGGGTGGGGGATTCTGGGAGTCGAAGTCCAGTCATCTTACAGTGGCCAAGAGCAATAACAGATTTCTGCCTTTCTTTGTGTAACCTACAGGTACTTCTTCACATTCGGTACTTGCGTGGTGTTGCAAAATTTTGAGCAGGCATCCAGGAGTAAAAGGTGAGTAATGGAGTATACCAGTTAACCTATTGGCCTGCAAAACTAAAAATGTTTCTGGTTTCGCTGGAAATCTTTTTGCAGCCTGTTCCTAAGGAGAGCAAAATTGTGATAGGGCAAGTATAACGTATTTGGAGATTTAAATTGTGTGAAATATTGCACGATCCCTTTTAAAGGAAAGGGGGAAAAATGAATTGGGCTCCAAAGCTTTTCCAGGCCAAATGTTTTTTAGTGATTGATTGGTGGTTTGGAATCCTAACAAAAAGAAAAGGTAAATTAAAGGTGAAGTAAATATAAAGGTTCCCCTTGCACATACTGTATGTGCTAGTCGTTCCTGACTCTAGGGGGCGGTGCTCATCTCCGTTTCAAAGCCGAAGAGCCAGCGCTGTCCGAAGACGTCTCCGTGGTCATGTGGTCAGCATGACTAAACATTGAAGGCGCACGGAACGCTGTTTCCCTTCCCACCAAAGGTG